TACTTTACATAAGTTCGAACGGAAGATTGTGGAAAGTTCACCGCGTTGGGGTTTCACAAAAAAATATCCTGGCGAAGGACCCAACCATATGCAATCGTGAATACTGCAATTGTGAATATTTTCTCGGTGGAGCCCCCTACGGGGCCACGAAACGTACGAGGGGTGTGCCGAAATGGGTGTGCGGGACGCATGCGGGCACACCCACTAGGGCCTTCGGTGGAACTCCCTATGCGGCCACGAAGCGTGTGAGGGAGTTGACGAAATGGGTGTGGCTGACGCATGCGGGCACGGGCACTGGGGCCTTCGGTGGAGCTCCCCATGGGACCACGAAGCGTTTGAGGGGTGTGCCGAAATGGGTGTGGTTGACGCATGCGGGCGCGGGCACTGGGGCCGAGGGGTGTGCCAAAATGGGGGTGGGTGACGCATGCGGGCACACCCACCGGGACCTTCGGCGGAGCTCCCTATGGGGCCACGGAACGCGTGAGGGGCGTGCCGAAATGGGTGTGGCTGACGCATGCGGGCGCGGGCACTGGGGCCTTCGGCGGAGCTCCCTATGGGGCCACGAAACGTGTGAGGGGTGTGCCGAAATGGGTGTGGCTGACGCATGCGGGCGCGGGCACTGGGGCCTTCGGTGGAGCTCCCTATGGAGCCACGAAACGTGTGAGGGGTGTGCCGAAATGGGTGTGGGTGACGCATGCGGGCGCGGGCACTGGGGCCTTCGGTGGAGCTCCCTATGGAGCACGAAACGTGTGAGGGGTGTGCCGAATGGGTGTGGGTGACGCATGCGGGCGCGGGCACTGGGGCCTTCGGTGGAGCTCCCTATGGAGCCACGAAGCGTGTGAGGGGTGTGCCGAAATGGGTGTGGGTGACGCATGCGGGCGCGGGCACTGGGGCCTTCGGTGGAGCTCCCTATGGAGCCACGAAACGTGTGAGGGGTGTGCCGAAATGGGTGTGGGTGACGCATGCGGGCGCGGGCACTGGGGCCTTCGGTGGAGCTCCCTATGGGGCCACGAAACGTGTGAGGGGTGTGTGCCGAAATGGGTGTGGGTGACGCATGCGGGCGCGGGCAACGTGTGAGGGGTGTGCCGAAATGGGTGTGGGTGACGCATGCGGGCGCGGGCACTGGGGCCTTCGGTGGAGCTCCCTATGGAGCCACGAAACGTGGAGGGTGGCCGAAATGGGACGCATGCGGGCGCGGGCACTGGGGCCTTCGGTGGAGCTCCCTATGGAGCCACGAAACGTGTGAGGGGTGTGCCGAAATGGGTGTGGGGGACGCATGCGGCCGCGGGCACTGGGGCCTTCGGTGGAGCTCCCTATGGAGCCACGAAGCGTGTGAGGGGTGTGCCGAAATGGGTGTGGGTGACGCATGCGGCGCGGGCACTGGGGCCTTCGGTGGAGCTCCCTATGGAGCCACGAAACGTGTGAGGGGTGTGCCGAAATGGGTGTGGGTGACGCATGCGGCGCGGGCACTGGGGCCTTCGGTGGAGCTCCCTATGGAGCCACGAAACGTGTGAGGGGTGCGCCGAAATGGGTGTGGGTGACGCATGCGGGCGCGGGCACTGGGGCCTTCGGTGGAGCTCCCTATGGAGCCACGAAACGTGTGAGGGGTGTGCCGAATTGGGTGTGGGTGACGCATGCGGGCGCGGGTACTGGGGCCTTCGGTGGAGCTCCTATGGGGCTACGAAACGCTGTACTGGGTGGGTGAAACGCAGGGAAGAGGGGGAGGAGGGAGGAGGAGGAGGAGGAGAGGAGGAGAGGAGAGGAGAGGAGAGGAGACGCGGGGACTGTTTCTTCAAAACGAGGACACAACACCACAGCATGGTTGGGAAAAACCAGCGTTTCATTTAGGTCTTTAGCTGTGGATCCCGGGGGGGGGGCAATGTTTCATGTAGACCTTCACCAGGCACCAAATTGGTAAATGGGACGCGTCTGGATTCCACCGAAAATATTTGTTGTCCATAGGGCTGCAGCGACGATCCAGAAGGAACGTGGAGCGCCTCTGGGTTTCACAAACGATTTGTTGATATAGGGTTTTACTGGGACTCCCCATGGACAGCGGCGCGCTTCTGAATTCCACAGAAACCAATATCACGTGATGGAACTTTATTCGGATTTGTGCAGGAAGTTCCGAGACGGCTCCAGGAGGGTCCCTATTTCTGATCTTGTGTATTGTCGCCGCCACAGTCACCCTAGCACCCGCGATACGATTACGAGTACGACTACGAGAAGTAGTAGTAGAAGTAGTAGTAGTGGTTGCAGTCGTAGCCGTAGCCGTAGTCGTAGTCGCAGCCAGATTATCATTAGTAGTAGTAGCAGTAGTATTGGTAGCAGCTACCATTATTACTCTTACTACTAGTATTACTTCTACTTCTACTACGACTACTACTACTACTACGAGTACTACTACTACTACTGCTACTACTACTACTACTACTGCTAGTACTACTACTACTACTACTACTACTACTACTACTACTCCTACTACTACTACTACGGCGGCTACTACGGCGGCTACTACGACGACTACTACGACGACTACTACTACTACTACTACTACCACTACTACTACTACTACTACTGCTACTACTACTACTACTACTGCTACTACTACTACTACTACTACACTACCTACTACTACTACTACTACTACGACTACTACGCTACTTACTACTGCTGCTATTACAACTGCTACAGCTACTACTGACTACTACTACTACTACTACTACTACTACTACTACTGCTACTAACTACTACTTACTACTACCTACTGCTACTACGACTACTACTAGTACTACTACTATACTACTACACTTACTACGACTACTACTACTACTACTATACTACTACTACTGCTACTACTTACTACTACTACTAAGACTTACTACTACTATACTATGCTGCTACTACTACTATACTAATACTACTACATTACTAGCTACTTACTACTACAACTACTACCTACTTATAATACTTTCTACTACGACTACTACTAAATACTATGCTGGCACTACTTATACTACTACTACACACTACTACTACTACTTACTACTACCACTAACTACTACTACTACGTTTACTACTACTACTACTACTACTAATACTACTACTACTACTACTACTGTACTACTATACTACTACTACTACTACTACTACTAACTTACTTCTACTACTACTAGACTACTACTACCGCTGCTACTGCTACTATTACTACTAATACTGCTACTAGGCCTACGACTACGACTACGATTATTGCGACTACTATCACTACTCCTTCTACGACGACGACAACGACGACTACTACTAGTGCGATTACCTCGATTACAACTTCGACTACAACGACCACTACTCCTACGCGGGGAGTCCATCACAGACCCCTGCGTATGCGTTGCTGTCGTGTTGCATAACAGTTCCCCATAGGGGAGTCCAGATGGTGATGTTGCTGGTGCTGTAAATTGTGGTACAATGTTGTCGTGTTTTGTGGTGTGCAGTGGTGTTGCATAGTGCTTTATAGTGCTATCTGGTGCTGTAGTGTGCTGTAGCGTGCTGCAGTGTGCTGTAGCGTGTCGTCCCAGAGGCCCAAGAGGCCGGCCGCCCCAGAGTCCCAAGAATTGGAGGGTGAAAGTGGGGGTCGGGCGCAGGGTCCCGGCAATGATGTTTTTTAAAGTCATGAATGGGCGATACATCCTCGATTGCTGTGTTCGGCGGGGGAACTAATTGAAGCCCCCCGCCTGCACCCGCGCGCGAGACTTGAGGGGAAAGGAAGCAAGGGGGCGGGGGGCTCGGGAAAGGCGACGAAGGCAACGTGCGCTAAGGGCGCAACAAGAACAGGCTGGAACACACCAAAGCGGTCGGGTGAGTGTCGAAATCTGCCTAGCCAATCTGGCATGCGGAACGCTGCGCCTCAGTTTTTGGGATCTTGAAGGCCAGGGCAAAATGTGAATTCACATTGTGGGGAAAAGCAACATGTGAATTCACATTTTGGGAAAAAAGGAAAATGTGAATTCACATTTTGGGAAAAAGGGAACTGTGAATTCACATTTTGGAATTTTGTGTAGGATTCTTTATGAAGGGGCCAGAATGTGAATTCACATTTTGGGAAAAAGTAAAATGTGAATTCACATTTTTGGGAAAAAGGAAAATGTGAATTCACATTTTTGGAGAATCGCGGGGCCCATTCCAAATCTGTCTTGGGGGTCGAGAAGTCATCGTTTGGGAACATACGCGATCATCAACCGCACAATCAAGACACACTTGCACTCCACTTCGCCGACCCACGCGCAATATGCAAGAACGCCCGCACGCATGAACGATAATGGATGGACGGCGCGTGTGCCCGCGCGGGCAACGCGCGGGCACGAATGACTGGCCATCAATGACCGCCAGCATTGGATGCCAATCGTACCCGATCACATACATGAGCGATACATTGAGCATACATGGGCCATTCAGCCCCCATTGAAGACCCCCTGTTGCAGACCCCCTCTTTCACCCTCCAAAAGAAGCCGTCGAAGCCGTCACAGAGGCCCAGGAGGCCGCCCCAGAGGCCCAAGAGGCCGTCCCAGAGGCCGAAGAAGCCGCCCCAGAAGCCCAAGCGGCCGTCCCAGAGGCCAAAGACGCCGTCCCAGAGGCCTCAGAGAGGCCCAAGAGGCCGTCCCAGGCCGTCCCAGATGCCCAAGAAGCCGTCCCAGAGTCCGAAAGAGCCGACGCCCAAGGGCTCGCCCCAGAGGTCCAAGAGGCTTTCCGAGAGGTCCAAGAGGCCTTCCGAGAGGTCCACGTGGCTTGTCGAGAGGCCCGCGGGGCCGTCCCAGAGGCCCAAGAGGCCGCCCCAGAGGCCCAAGATGCCTCCCTGCAAGCCTGCAGAAGAGTGCCAGTCAATCGAAAGTCTCTCCCGGGGATTCACCCGAATTTCCAAGGGCTCCCTCGAGGGCGCGAAGTTATTCGCGCTTCGCGCTTCGCGGTCCTCGTTCCTTCTCCCCCTCCTCCTCGTCCTCCTATTCTCCCTTTGGGAGGGCGGCGCGAGAGCGCGAAGTTATTCGCGCTTCGCGCTTCGCGCAGCGCGAAGCGCGAAGTTGGGAGCCCTAGATTTCTGGGGTCGCACCTATCAGCCGGGGATATCCTTTTTCTCTGGGGGAGGGGGGAGGAAGGGGGCGGGGGGGACCCAGGCCTCCCAGATGGCATCCTAGCAGATGGGGTCGGAGGATCGCGCCGCATCGACGATGCATCGACGATGCGGCTCGATGTGGAGCCCGATTTCCCCCACGCCGACGTCGCGGATGCATCGCCGACGTTGCCGATGCATCGCCGATGCATTGCCGATACATCGGGGATGCATTGGCGATGCGGCGCGATCCTTCGACCCCATCTACTCGGACCCCATCTAGGAGGCCTCTAGGGGAGAGGCGAGGGGCAGGCGCGTTTGCGGCAGACCAGGCAAGCCCAGAGGGACACGTACCCGTCAGGCCGGACCCCCGCCTCAAGAACGATCCGAGCTGGATTCAGCTGCGGGTGAGGTCCAGCCGTTCCTGCCGCTCGGCGAGGGGCACTTCTGGAGGCGTGGTTTTCGGCGGCTCTGGGCCGAAGGATTGCAAAAAAACCAGATGGATTGCAAAAAAACCGAAGGATTGCAAAAAACCCGAAGGTTTTTTTTGCAATCCTTCGTTCGAGTGGCAGCCGGTTTCTCATGCTCGCCGATTCCTGGAGGGCTCTGCAGGACTCGGCCGCGATGCCGGCCTGCGTTCGTCTCCGAATGGTTGGGCGGCGGCGAGGGCGGAGGGCAGGAGGGGGCGAGGGGGGAGCCGAGGCAGGAGGGGGTCTGAGGAGCGAGTGGAGACGGAGGGCGCCGAGAAGGGAGCAGGGAGGAGGGAGGAGAACCGATGAGGGAGGGAGGTGGCATGACCGCGAGGGGGAGGGGGAGGGGGAGGAGGAGGGAGGAGGAGGAGGAGGAGGAGGAGCAGGAGGAGGAGTGGAGGAGGAGGGTGGAGGCAGCCGAGGCCGAAGGAGTGAGAGGGAGGGACACGGTGGTGGTGGAGGAGGAGGAGGATCAAAGAGGAGGTATAATAAGTCGACGACAGTTTGCCCACGACCCTCTTGCGCAGTCCGAGGGGCCTCGCCACGAAGCGAGCGCGTCGGTCTCGAGAGCGTCGCGCAAGCTTTAACGACAGGTCGCCGAGATACGTACACCTGACAGTCCCTGGGGGGTTCTGGGCAACGCCGAACCGACAAGCGAGCATTCAGACGCCGAGGATGGGGCAGGGGCTGGTAGAGGTCTTGATGCGGAGTGAAGCTGCCTTTTGAAGGCCATGCTCAGGGGCCAACTTTGTAGAACGATGCATCGACCATCGGATGCGCCCCCCCCCCCCTGTCGCTGCCACCATGGGGCAGCTTCGACCCTGGAGCCGGCCGCCCGCACCGAGGCGGTGTCCCTCCCGCACTGGGCGGGCGCCGCCGCGCCGAAGCCCTTCGGGCAGATGCGGCAGGAGTGCGCCGACACCGACGTCAAGACGCTCCAGGCGAAGGCCCGATGGAGTCAACAGACGCGACGGCGCGACGGTGCGGGTGTGTTCGGCGTCGGGCAGGCGTCGCGTCCCTGCCAGGGCTCGCCTGCGTCCCACGAGTGCAGAACCACCCCTTCTCGAGGCGCGCGGAGGCAGGGGGCCTCTCAGCTCGATCGGTCCGACCAAACGGACCTCGGGGCGTCCTGGAGCACAGCCAGGGCGGGCACTGTGTTTGTCACTGTCTCGAGGTCTTGGCGCCGTTGTCGGGCCCTGGTGCCCGCAGAGGAACGGCCCGCGAAAAACATCGAGGCCCTGAGGACTGGTCCGACAAAAAAAAGATCGAGGCTGTTGCGAAGATCCTAAAAGATAAGCGAGGCCCCGCGCTCTGCCCCCCGAAGTGTATCGAGGCTGTGGGGTCGAGAGCTCCTGGGGGCCAGGTCGTGAAAGAAGCATCACGGGTCATAGGTCTGGTTTGCAAAGCCAGTGCCGCGAGTAACAGGCCGCACTCCTGGCAGGACCCTCCAGCAGTCCCTTGTAGATCTGCTCCACTTTGTCACGCAGGGCACCCCCCCCCACCCCAGCATCCTGTCTGGCTGGTTTCTCCTCCCCGCTTGCCTGGTGGGTCCAGAAGAGTCTCCCGCCCCCAGAGGGCCAAACAGACCAAACAAAGTCAAAGCAGCTCCCCCTCCCCCCGCATCCTCCTCGTCCGAGAGGGCCCCCATCAGTTCTCATAAATTTCGACTCCCACAGGAAGCCGTCGGGAAACCGTGGACATTTGAGAGTGTGAGGGCCCCCAGAAAGCTTACGTTTGAAAAGCCTCCTCCCCTCCCCCTACTCCTCCACCGAGGGTGCCTTCGTTGGCTTATAGCATCAAGGATGACTCTTGGCTTGTGGCTGCCTGGGTGAGTGACATTCGGAACGCGGTGACAACACGTGAACTCAGCAGCCGGTAATGCGTCTCTAGTGTTTCATCCCACGGGATGCGGCACCCACCGGCGCGGCCCTGCCTCGGAGCAGGGCTGTAATTGTGCTGATCCGCTCATTTCCGTCTCCCCCGAGGGGGCCTCGCAGAAGTACATGGCCTCGATCGGGTTCCAGAACTTCAGGCAGTTCATGGAGGCGACGATCGCCACAGAATAAACAATTGCACAAACATGCATTTTCTCATCTCTCCGCGGATGTATTGGATCGGCGTGGAACCCCCCACAGGCGCCGCCAGGGGGGCCAAGCGCCGATCCAAGAATCCGCGCAGATCTCCGAAAGTTCTTTCCTCCTCTTACGATCGCGCCGATCACTCTACAGGCGCGGGAGGCGTGGGGCACTGGGCATTTCCGAGCGCAGGCGACGGCGACCGCTCGACAGGAGCGCGGCGGAGAGCCCGCTCTCGCGGCCAGACCGGGTCGATCGTACAGCGACGCCTTGCTGCTCAGATGATGTTCCTTCTAACGACGACGGCGGCGGCGGTGGCGACGACGACGACGACGCTCCTTGGCATCGACGGCGACGGCGTGGAGGTGAAGATCCAGCAGCTCTTCGCCGACGCGTTGCAGCCGCTGCTCTCGCGGCTGAACTCGATGAAGGACGAGCGACGTCTGGGGGAGGGAGGTGGGTAAACAATAGGTGGGCCAAGGAGGGAGGGAGGAGGAGGAGGAGCAGGAGGAGGAAGAGGAGGAGGAGCAGCAGCAGCAGGAGGAGCAACAGGAGGAGGAGGAGGAGGAGGAGGAGGAGGAGGAGACGGAGGAGGAGGAGGAGGATGAGGAGGAGGAGGAGGAGGAGGAGGAGATTGCTTGCTTGCTCTCGGCTGTGGGACGCTGGATCGAGTGCCTACTACCGCTCTCGGAAATGGATAGTCTGATAATTACAGCTAAGCTCGTACACCCCACGGCGAGGGACCGATCAGGCCGAAGGGGCCGAGCGAGCAGGACCGAACAGAAGCAGAGGCCGAGCGAGGGAAAGAGGGCCAGGCCGACGACGAGCAGGAGGGAGGCGGCGAGGAGCGGGGTCGAAAATTACTCACACGTCCGCCGTCCACCCCCGAGCGCGGCTCATTGGACCAGGTGCGCGAGGCCGCACAGCCATAGCTCGATGCCCGCGGCGCAGGGCCCGCGCTCCGAACCCGCTCCCCTCGCGTTCAGTTGTCGCTGCTGGGGGCGACAATCCTCGTCGACAGGCGGCCACCGCTCAGATCCCGCCGACTCGTGCGTTCTCGTCGGGGCGTTGAGGAAGGAACCCTTTTCGTTTGGGAGGGGCTCGGTGTTCCTTAGTTGTTTTGTAGTTCACCTTTGGTTTTGCTTAGGGCTTCGATGGGAAATCGAAGTTGAACTTATGGGAAAAAGGGGCCTCGTTCCTTATTTAGGATTCCTTAGGTCAACGCCTTGACTGTGCTCTTTCAGGACATCTGTCCAGGCGGAGATTTCGTCCTCCAGGTGCCCACTCGGGGCCATGCCTGCCGTCACCGTCGCGCCCATGCTGCAGAAGCACTCCCGGAGAGCAGGCTCGTTCCCCGCCGAGTCCAGCGAGAGCACCTGCAGCGTGTCGTCCTGCTTGGTGCTCCCCATGCGGCAGAGGCGCGCGCAGTCGGGTGGCTCGTGCTCCATCGCCGCCAGCAGCGCCGGCAGGCTCTCCCTGCCGCGCCTGTCCACCTCCTCTGCCGCGAGCGCTTCCGCCCTCGCGCCGCGCAGGAGACCGCAGGAGCTGGTGGTCCCAGCCCTCGGGGGTCGGCCATCGGCTTCTCCGCGTCGGCGTCGTACTCCCGCGAGGCCGCGCCGTCGGACTCGCTCGCCGCCCTGGCCTTCGCCTTCAGCTTGCTGAGCTCCCAGCGCAGGTTGGACGCCTTCGCTGAGAAGTCCCGGGGCTCCGTCTGCATCGCCCTCTATCACGGGCGACCTCGCCTCGAGCAGCACGGTCCTGGTTGAGATCCCCCACAGCGCACTCGACCGTTGCGTGAGCTGGTCCACCTGCACCGCGAGAATGAGGAGGAGTTCCTTGAGGCCCGCATCCTTGGCCGTCAGCTTGCGCTCCCTCTGCTCGGCGCGCCTCCTGCCGCCGCGCCTGATCTTCGGCCTGCCCGCCGGTCCCTCGCCCCCCCGCTCGTGCCCCTCGCAACGCGCTGTCCCCCTGCACTCCGCTGGACCCTGCGGCTGTCCTCCTCCTCGTCGTCTTTCTTGGAGCCGCACCCACCACTGCGCGAGGTCGCCGATGAGCCCTGCGGGCGCCACGACCTTTTTTTCCCCGTCTCCATCGCCGCGGCTGCGGTCACGGGCGGTCCTGCCGAGCTGCTGATCAGCACCAGGTCGTTGAACAAGAAGGCCGACAGCAGAGCGCAGGCCAGAGCCCCGAGTGCGATCCGCAGGGGCTGGCACAGTATGGCGGCGCCGCGGCCTCGGGGCCCGTGGGGCAGGCCGAGGCTTCACTATGGAAGTGGAATGTCCCTCCTGCGTAGGAGGCAGATGCGAGCACATTGCTCCGGAGCGCCTCGTAGATCATGACGCACACTCTAGTTTCACAATCCCGAAATTCGTAGGAGGAGGAGGATCTTCGAGGTCCAAGGGTCGAAGATCGTTTTGCGTTGGTTGCGTTCTCTCTCTCTCTCTCTCTCTCTCTTTCTCTCTCCCTCTCTCTCGCTCTGTGTGCGGTCGGAAACGTTTGGACAGCGTGTCGCTACGACGGTTCTGGCCACCACTCCTCGGCGCGACACGCTATGCGTTTCCCGGTCCCCGAGCTTCAACGTCTCAAGTTGTATCCCACCCCCTCTGGTGGGTTCTCGTTTTGAATAAAACGCTGTGGTTTTCACTCCTTCTTCTTCTCCTTCTCATTCCCCCTCCTCCTGCCTCCTCCTGCGCTGCTCCTGGGTGGCTGCGAACTGCGCAACTGGCGCCACTTGTGTGGGTTCCTGGGAAGCACGGCGTAGTAATAGAGTGCGCGCACCCAGACGGGACCTCGCAACTCCTTGGATAGCTTCGAATTGCGTAATTGGCGCAACGTTCGTGGGCTCCTGGGAGGTCGAGCGGAGTCGGGGAGTGCGCGCATCCAGACGGGACTTCGCTGCCCCCATGGGGGCTGCGGACTGCGCACCCGTCGCCACTTTCGTGGGCTCTAGGAGGCACGGCGAAGTAGCGGAGTAGGCGGACCGAGGTCCAGCGAAGTCGAGGAGCATGCAGATCCAGTCGGGACTTCGCTGCTCCCTGGGTGGTTGCGAGCTGCGCAATTATCGCCCTTTTCGTGGGCTCCTGGGAGGCACGGCAGAGTCGAGGAGTACGCGAATCCAGACGTGACCTCGCTGCCCCCATGGGGGCTGCAAATTGCGCAAGTGTCGCCACTTTCGTGGGCTCCTGGGAGGTCGTGCGGAGTCAGGGGGTACGCGCATCCAGACGGCACTTCGCAACTCCTTGGATGGCTGCGATGCGCGTGCGCGTGCGCGTGCGTGCGTGCGAGCGTGCGTATGTGCGTATGTGCGGGCGGGCGGGCGTGCGGGCGTGCGGGCGTGCGGGCGTGCGGGCGTGCGGGCGTGCGGGCGTGCGGGCGTGCGGGCGTGCGGGCGTGCGCGTGCGCGTGCGCGTGCGCGTGCGTGTGCGCGTGCGCGTGCGCGTGCGTGTGCGTGTGCGTGCGCGTGCGCGTGCGCGTGCGCGTGCGAGTGCGCGTGCGCGTGCGCGTGCGCGTGCGTGTGCGTGTGCGTGCGCGTGCGCGTGCGCGTGCGCGTGCGAGTGCGCGTGCGCGTGCGCGTGCGCGTGCGCATGCGCGTGCGTGTGCGTGTGCGCGTGTGCGTGTGCGCGTGTGCGTGTGCGCGTGCGCGTGTGCTTGTGCGTGTGCCAGTGCCTGTGTTGTGCGTGTGCGTGTGCGTGTGCGTGTGCGTGTGCGTGGTCGTGTGCGTGTGTGTGTGTTGTATGTGTGTGTTGTGCGCGGGCGTGTGTGTTGTGTGTGCGTGTGCGTGTGCGTGTGCGTGTGCGTGTGCGTGTGCGTGTGCGTGTGCGTGTGTGTGTGTGTGTGTGTACGTGTGTGCGTGTATGCGTGTGTGTTCGCGTGTGTGTGTATGTGTGCGTGCGTGCGTGCGTGCGTGTGCGTGTGCGTGTGCATGTGCGTGTGCGCGTGTGTGTGCGTGTGCGTGTGCGTGTGCGTGTGCGTGTGCGTGTGCGTGTGCGTGAACGAGCGCCTGCGCCAGCGCGTGTGCGTGTGCGTGTGCGTGTGCTTGTGCGTGTGCGTGTGCGTGTGCGTGTGCGCGTGTTGTGCGTGTTGTGCGTGTTGTGCGTGCTGTGCGTGTTGTGCGTGTTGTGCGTGTTGTGCGTGTTGTGCGTGTTGTGCGTGTTGTGCGTGTTGTGCGTGTTGTGCGTGTTGTGCGTGTTGTGCGTGTTGTGCGTGTTGTGCGTGTTGTGCGTGTTGTGCGTGTTGTGCGTGTTGTGCGTGTTGTGCGTGCTGTGCGTGCTGTGCGTGTTGTGCGTGTTGTGCGACGTGTGCTGATGGCGTGTTGTGCGTGGTGTGCGTGTTGTCCGTGTTGTGCGTGTTGTGCGTGTTGTGCGTGTTGTGCGTGTTGTGCGTGTTGTCGGTGAAGTGTGTGTGGTGTGCGTGTTGTGCGTGTTGTGCGTGGTGTGCGTGTTGTCCGTGGTGTGTGTGATGTGTTGTGTGTGTTGTGTGTGTGGTGTGTGTTGTGTGTGTTGTGCGTTGTGTGGGCTGTGTGTTATGGGTGGTGTGTGTTGTGTGTTGTGTGTTCTGTGTGTGTTGTGTGTGTTGTGTGTTGTGCTTTGCGTGTGTTGTGTGTGTTGTGCAAGTTGTGCGTGTTGTGCGTGTTGTGCGTGTTGTGCGTGTTGCGCGTGTTGTGCGTGTTGTGCGTGTTGTGCATGCTGTGCGTGTTGTGCGTGTTGTGCGTGTTGTGCGTGTTGTGTGTGTTGTGTTGTGTGTGTTGTGTGTGTGTTGTGTGCTGTGTGTGTTGTGTGTGTGTGTTTTGTGTGTGTTGTGTGTGTTGTGTGTGGTGTGTGTTGTGTGTTGTCTTTGGTTTATGCGTTGTGTGGTGTGTGCGTTGTGTGTGTTGTGTGTTGCGTTTGTTGTGGGTTGTGTGTTTTGGTGTGCGTTGTGGGTGTTGTGTGTGTTGTGTGTTGTGCGTGCTGTGTGTGTTGTGTGTTGTGCCTTGTGTGTGTTGTGTGTTGTGTGTGTGCTGTGTCTGTTTGTGTGTGTGTTGTCTTGTGTGTGTGGTGTGCGTTGTGTGTTGTGTGTTGTGTGTTGTGTGTGGTGTTGTGTGTGGTGTGTGTTGTGTGTTGTGTGTGTGTTGCGTGTTGTGTGTTTTGTGTGTTGTGTGTTGTGTGTTGTGTGTTGTGTGTGGTGTGTGCTTGTTGTGTGTGTTGTGTGTGTGTTGTGTGTTGTGTGTTGTGTGTTGTGTGTGGCGTGTGGTGTGTGTGGTGTGTGTTTGTTGTGTGTGTGTGTTGTGTGTGTGTTGTGTGTGTTGTGTGTATTGCGTGTGTGTGTTGTGTGTGTGTGTTGTGTGTGTAGTGTGTGTGTGTGTGTGTGTGTGCGTGCGTGCGTGCGTGCGTGCATGCATGCATGCGTACGTGCGTGCGCGCGTGCGCGCGCGCGTGTGTGTGTGTGTGTATGT